GGAATTAGTGACAAATTTCGTATCAAATAAACAAAATAGTCATTCTATTTATTTATTATTTTTGCAATATATCAAGCATAAGCCTAGAAATTATGCAAAGAAACTATGCAAATTCTTTTCAAAAAAAAAAAAAATTAATTTAAAAAAGAAAAGATTTGCTCACAGAAAAGGTTACGCAGCAAATCATTAAACAGTGAAATTGAACATTTTGGAAATGAAATTAATCATTTTGGTCAATGTAATCATTAACCGGAATTTGTTTTGTATCTTCGAAAAAGCTTTTCGCCGAATAAATAAAGTCATTAAATCATTTCTTTCCATTTTTTTCCCTAATATTTTTTCTAATTTCAAACTAAACAATCGTTATTTTGAAAATGTTTTTCGATCCGTTCATTTGGATGAATGGCTATGAAATAAAATTTTTTTCAATAAAATAGAAAATACTGACTTCATCCATTTCGGTATAAGTACACGAATATTTCTTTTGTAATATGCTTGAATGCTTTATGTTCTGCTCGATTCAATTAATTTCTATTAACATATATGAGTAGATTGTGTTTGTGTGTATATGTGTGTGCATATGTGTGTTTATGTGATGTGTATGTGCGTGTGTGTGTGACGATCAAAGCGATTAGATGACCCAAATCTGATTTTTCGATCCGTGATATATGATTCATTCAGTTCTGCCGGCAAATTTGTTTATTTTATATGTAGAAAATTCTTTTTTTTTCAAATAAATTATTTGTTTACTATCGATAAGCACGTGAATGATATTTTAAATGAAATCATTAAAATGTTTTCTGACCATTACAATTTTTGTTAACAGTCACGGTTTTTTGCTTCCTGAAAGTTTAAAAAAAATCTTTGGGAAAGAAAAGTTAACAATGAAAAGTGATGAGATGATAAAAATAAACAAAAACAAATTGATAAAAACACCCACCCGACAATAGTTGGCATCGAGTTTCTCAATTTGTGGTAGGATATGGATCACTCTTCCTCGATAAGTGTTACATTCCGAGAGTGGATTCATTTCCAAATAAACTAATTTCAAATTTGGCAAATGAATCAATTCTTCCACTTCCGTCATTTTTTCCAACTAAATTTGAATATTAAATGGAAAATTTTCGTTAATTTTAACTTAAATACAAACGGTTAGATGTATAATATATCCAACTTTTGAAAAATGAATTTTTGTTTGCATTATTTGCAAAAATTTCAAACAAGTACTTTTTGCATACGAATTAACTGAATTGATTAAATTATAAATTAAGAATTATAACTTAAATATAATTTGGAGTTTCATTTGAAAACCTGATTCTTTTTAACCCAGAAATCAGTAAGTTTCTGAAGATGACGAATATTTGAAATAGAGCGAAGACGATTGTGATTCAGATCAAGAATTTTCAAATTTGTATTGTTTTCCAGGCCCGTGATATATTCTATACCGTTTTGTGATAGATACAATTCTCGAAGTGTTGTTAAATTATTCAAACCCTAAAAAAATATTTTCGTAATTTAAGAATTCAATTTTTTACAAAGTTATTTTAACATGGATGATAGATATATAATAAGACAGATATCAGAGAAAAAATTGAACTGAAAACAAATTTCTTGTTAAAGAAATTTGATAGTGATAAATTCTGATAGAAATTTGATAGTATCATATGGATTACAAGGTGAAGGTGAAGGAAATATCGATACTACCGGAAAAATGTTTTTTCATAAAATTGTAATCGAAATACTAATAATAATTAAACTTGAGTTATTTTATCTATGTCATTTTAATTTGACTTTTTTGATGATAGCGCTGTTAGATGGCTTTTTTTTTAATGTGTTTTAATTCTTCAACACATCAAAACGGATTCAAAATAATTTAAAATCTAAAATTTAAAACAACTTTATATTTTAAGCTTCAGATGATTGTTGATGACATTAACGGAATTCAATAATTATTTATAATAATAATAATGAATGATAATAGTAACAATAACAATAATAATATTGATAATAACGTAACAATAATAATAAATAATAGTAATAATAAATGATTAAAAATGGCAAATAAAATTTCACTACAAACCTTAATTTCTTGAATAGCATTAGCGGGAAGACTGAGCACTTCAATATGTTCTAACATCTCCAAATTTTCAATGTCAACAATTTGGTTAGCACCCAGAAATAATCGTTTAATTTTGGTATTTTTCGAAAGATTTTCAATTTTTTTGATACGATTATCGCCAAGTTCCAAGTATTCCAATTCAGTCAGCTAAAACTTTTAGTGGAATAATTGTTCCTCAAAATTTTTGATAAAATTTTGAGGAAAAAATGTCATTTTATTAAAAAATTAATAGCAGTGATAAAAAAATTTGTCAAAGGTATCACCTCTTCAAGTCCTTGAATTTTTTGAATTTTGTTATGGACAAAATAGGCATTTTTTAGTTTTTTCAAGGATGACAAATTTTCGAGCACTGTGATACGATTGAACGACAAGTCTAACGATTCCAGATTGACCAATTCATCCAGGTTCTCAATTTTGGTGATCTAAAATTTATGCAAATTTCATCGTTGTCATAACTGTATGCTTTTGTTTATTCATGTTGCTCTTCAAATAGATAACTTTGATGAAACAATTTCAAACCTGATTGTCATAAAGGTCGAGTTCGGTAATTGTAACAAGCATATGTAAATTTTCAATTTTTTTAATTAAATTCCAACGTAAGCACAAATATTCTATGCTGTGCAAGAAGTCAAATCCTTCGATTTTTTTAATTCGATGTCGCGTTAAATCAAGTTCTTTAACGCTCGGATCAACCTATATAACACAGCAATATTACACTTTAAAATGACAAATTAAAATCAACTTTTTTTTGAAATTAAAGCAAAATTTTTAAAGAAAATCAAATCATTCATAGTACCCTCATAAATTTAACATAAAACATTTTTATAATATATACATGTGTTAGTGCACTCAAATTTCCAAACAATTCGCTCTAATAATATTATTGATTTCATTGAAATTTATTCCTAATATTTCCTAAGCATAAGATGGGGAAATGATAAATAACTGATATGCAATAATAGCAAAACGATGATAACATTTAAAATGTGATGGTAAGTGCAAAAATGAAATGATAAAGCTAGCAATTTGATAAAACTTTTTTAAAAATTATAACTGACATGAAGTAAAAAAAGGAGATACCTCGAGAAATTCGACATTCCCATCCTCCCCTTCATCACCTTCTCCAGCTTTCGGAACAGCAGCAGACAACTCGTTAGCACACATCCGCACCAAATGAAATCGTGCAAACAACTGGCGATCCTGATAAGCTTATTAGTTTTTAAAATAGTGTGAAATTATTTTAATTTATGCAAAAATTTCAATTTTCATGCACATATGCAAATCAGTGTATCTACGAGCAAATTTTGGCAAGAATTTACGCTTATATTCAAAAAAAGAATCAAATATTCAAAAAATATTCAAAAAACGAAAATTTCGAAGAATAATTTATAAATTCAAATATTTCACACACATTTTTGGCACTTATCTAAAATTTAACGTGAGATTCTTCTTCAGAAAAATAATTGAAAAATTCGAAAGCAAATTATTTGAATTATACATAATTTGTCTCCAAATATTTCGTAATCTGAAATTAACAAAAAACGTACAATTAATAAAGTAAATGAAAAAAAAGGGTCACAAATTGATTTGATGAATTTGGACAGTTAATGAAATTAAAAAAAAACATGCAGCTAGCAAGTAAAACTAATGAAAAGAATGCAATAAGTAGATTTGCAAAAAAAATTCACTGAAAAAAATCAAAGCGGAAAAAATGGAAATATAACGTGAGATTCTTTTTCAGAAGAAATAATTGAAAATTGCAAAAAGAAAATGTTAAACATAAAAATGCAAAAAAAACTAACAAAACATAAATAAAGTTAGCAAACCAAAAAGCACGTAATAAAATAATGTTAATATAA